CGCGTCGCCACTGCTGCAGGTAACGTAGAAAGTCAGTCCGACGGCGTCGCCGCACCAGACGTACGCGTGAGGACGCGCCTTTTCGTAGCCCCGCAATCAAACGTCGCTCGCGATCGAACTCGTGCACCCTCGCACTAAATCGTCGAAATTTTCACCGACAAACTACGTAAACTCGTGCGAACGCTACAAACAATTCGCAAATAAAAAACTAGAAGAAACACGAAGATTGTTCCTGGATCTCTCGGTCGAATCGTGATCGTTAAACCGAGAATCTGCGTGATCGCAACGAAGATCGAGGAGAATTTCGAAAGTCGGTGCACCAAGTGCCTTTTTTCTTTCTGTTTTTTCGTTTCGGAGGGGCTCCGTTTTGTCCCGCCCCTCTGGGCGGCTCCTGGCTACCGGAAGTATCCTCGTCTTGACGGACTTCTTCTCGCAGTACCAGCCAGGTACCGGTCGACAGAATGTTTTCCTCCTCGAGGCTTTTCCCGCCGATTTTCTTCGCGGCACTCTTCCTCTGCATCGGTGAGTGGCAGTTTGCAAAATGTTTTTTACGAGCTTGAGTGTGTTTAGTGTGCAGAGATGGCAAGTTGTGCAAGACGGCTTTTAACGGTGCAGAGTTTTAAAGGTGACCCCGTTAAGGGTTTTTTTATATTCGGGCTGGTACCGTGTGATAAACGGTGCCGTAACTGGGGACCGGGATGGTACCCCACGAAATATGGACTTGCCCTTATAGTGCCAGGTGTGGGGATCTCATGTATCTTGTGAAACTCACAGATTTTCAGATTTGCGAATTTGCAAGCTTTTAGGGTTCTCATTTTTTTTTTTGTAAATTTAATTTCTCAATTTTTGAGTTACTACATCTTTAATTTTGTAAGTTTCAAAATTTTCTTATTTTCTAATTCTTAAATTCCCACACTCCTAAATATCTAATTTCCCGAATTCCTGAATTTCTAAATTTTCAAAGCCCTAAATTTTTCAAGTCCTCAATTTCTCAAATTCTAAATTCCTACATTCACAAATTCCTAAATTTGCAAGTTCCTACACACCCAAATTCCTAAATTTGAAAATTCCTAAATTTGCAAGTTCCTACACACCCAAATTCCCACACCCTAAAATTCCTAAATTTGCAAGTTCCTACACACCCAAATTCCCACACCCTAAAATTCCTAAATTTGCAAGTTCCTACACACCCAAATTCCCACACCCTAAAATTCCTAAATTTGCAAGTTCCTACACACCCAAATTCCCACACCCTAAAATTCCTAAATTTGCAAGTTCCTACACACCCAAATTCCCACACCCTAAAATTCCTAAATTTGCAAGTTCCTACACACCCAAATTCCCACACCCTAAAATTCCTAAATTTGCAAGTTCCTACACACCCAAATTCCCACACCCTAAAATTCCTAAATTTGCAAGTTCCTACACACCCAAATTCCCACACCCTAAAATTCCTAAATTTGCAAGTTCCTACACACCCAAATTCCCACACCCTAAAATTCCTAAATTTGCAAGTTCCTACACACCCAAATTCCCACACCCTAAAATTCCTAAATTTGCAAGTTCCTACACACCCAAATTCCCACACCCTAAAATTCCTAAATTTGCAAGTTCCTACACACCCAAATTCCCACACCCTAAAATTCCTAAATTTGCAAGTTCCTACACACCCAAATTCCCACACCCTAAAATTCCTAAATTTGCAAGTTCCTACACACCCAAATTCCTAAATTTGTAAGTTCCTACATTTCCAAATTCCTAAATTTGCAAGTTCCTACAAACCCAAATTCCCGCACCCTAAAATTCCTAAATTCCCAATTTTCTAAATACCTAATTTCCAACTCCTAATTCCCAAATTTCCATACTTTCAATTCCCCTAATTTCCAAACACGCAAATGCTAAAATTTCCAACTATCCAATTCCCAAGTTAGAAATTCGCAGTGCCCCATTTTCCAAATTTCCACTTCGTTTAGCTCGCAATGGGATATTTGCAATTAAAACGTCCCCGCAATATTAATAGTCATATATTAAAAGGGGGGTCATGATATTTCCGCGAGCCATCTTCTCATCTCTGCACTTGTCCAACTTTCAAATATTCCTTGATCGATAAAAGGTTTAACTACCTTATTTAAAAAATTCCAGTCTAACTTTTTTATATTAAAAATTGAACCGAGATGAATGATGCAACGAGTTTGATACCGAACATCAGAAGCCATTTTAATAATGCAGCATCAAACGTGCAATTTTCTTCTATTAGAATGTTTCTTTTTACGAGATTCAGATTAGATGATATCCGATGTTCAAAAAGGACACGAAACCTTATGTATTCTTAACTGTTAGTCGAACACGAATGGTCATTGTTCGACGTGCTGTTTAAAACAATCGAAGGATCGTTTGCCAAAACGTGACGACCAATATTTTGATAGCCGCTAGTGACATGCAGAGTAAATATTGAACGGAAATCGAACCGGTTAAATATGCACCGTTCCTTCCGTGTTTGATAACTCTGCAAAATCCATCGAAGTCCGTGAATTATTCTCGACGGTGAAGCATCGTCGTTAAACACGGTATCTTGGTTACTCGAATTCAAGAACTTCAAATTTATCCAAGAAAATTATTTCCAATTTTTATACCACTTCATTTTAATTACACTACGTTTCTCTTTGGTTTGCAAAATTGCAAGGTTTGGTCCAAAATTTTTGGCTGTAGTTTAAGAGGGTTTTATGGTTCTAATCTTCTCGAGAAGGACGTTTTGAAATTTTAGTGTGTTGCCATAAGGGTTAGGTTAGGTTAAGGATGTTGTAGAATTTGAAAGGGTTACTAGGTTGAGGGTGTTGGTTTGCAAAATTGCAAGGTTTGGTCCAAAATTTTTGGCTGTAGTTTAAGAGGGTTTTATGGTTCTAATCTTCTCGAGAAGGACGTTTTGAAATTTTAGTGTGTTGCCATAAGGGTTAGGTTAGGTTAAGGATGTTATAGAATTTGAAAGGGTTACTAGGTTTAGGGTGTTGGTTTGCAAAATTGCAAGGTTTGGTCCAAAATTTTTGGCTGTAGTTTAAGAAGGTTTTATGATTTTAATCTTCTCGAAAAGGAGGATTTGAAATTTTAGTGTGTCACCTATAAGGGCTAGGTTAGGTTAGGGTAAGGATGTTATAGAATTTGAAGGAGTTGATTATTAGGTTGAGGGTGGGGTTTCAAAGGGATATGAGATTTTTATTCCGTGGTGTATTTACTGCAGCCGATAGAACTCTAAGTGTTGAGATTCTCAGGTTGAGGATCACTAACAGATAGAATATCGTCGATCATCTTCCGCTAATTAGCAGAATTATCAGTATTCAAAGCTACTTGTTACACTGACTGACAATACGCATCAGGTACCTAACACTTTCAACCGTGATATTCGATTAAATCCTCCATAATCCATTACGGTCCATTAACCGTTTCGATCAGGCTATCATTATTGTTAAATACCGTGCATCGATTGATTCCTTGTCGACTGGATAATTTGATTTTCAACCGAGAATTATCCTCAATTAGATTCGCCTCTAAAACACCTCTACCCACACCTCGATAAGCCGCGTTAAAAACCTTACGTTATTTTAATAATAATTACGGTGTTCACACTTTGGTGCAGTTAATTTTCTCTCCTTTTTTTGTAATGGTGTTAAACTTGTTTCATGGACTGGGATTTTCGTAATCGACAGGGGCGATAATGTCCGGAAAGTCGACCACGACGGTCCGAGAAACGCTACGAGTCGAGTTCGCTCCCCTAATGAATAGCATTATTTCCAAGTTGAAGTTTACGGCCTAATCGAATTAGTCGCGTAGCGAGCGGATAGGGGCGGGTCTAACTGAATTTTCGGCTGTCCCACATTGCGAAATCGGGAGGTGGGTGGGCGAAACCGGGAGACACCAACGAGGCTACGTTTCTGCGAAATTGCGAAATTCTTGATGGCAGACGCGAAAAATCGCTACAACATCGCTAAACATCTACGTCGATCATATTTACGTGATCCACAATTGCTTCAATTGACATTAATAAATTTTACAAATTTTCTTCTATAATATTTTACAAACAGATTATCGATAATTTTATATATCTTTTCGTTCAGCCTACATCTACCTTTTCAGATTTATTGATTTCATCGGCGACACCCTTTTACATTGTCATTACAATGTTATTGATTTGCAATATGATTATTAATAATCTTACAGGCTTTCATTAACCACGTCGATCCTCTAGATTAATGATTTTCTAACCTATCGATAATCTTACACCTTCACCCTTATGTTCTTCCGCATTCTCTTTCATTAACCCCTTCATTATGTCATGCGTCTCAAACTTCTAGCTTCATTATGATCAATAACATCTGCCTTATTTAATCATTAATAATAACTGTACATATAGCAATGTGCTCAGGTTAATTAATTCACAAATTCATTATAATTAATCTTACACCCTGCATCTTCAGGAATTTTCATTTAGGAAAGTGTCCAAATTCAATAGTTTAAAAATGATCAATAATTTTATTGTGTTGTTTAACCATCAATAATAATGTTTCAGTCGCAATAAGTATTTAGGTTAATTAATTTATAGATTCGTTGTAAATAATCTTACACCCTGTATCTTCAGTGATATTCATCTAGGAAAGTGTCCAAATTCAATAGTTTAAAAATGATCAATAATTTTATTGTGTTGTTTAACCATCAATAATAATGTTTCAATCGCAATAAGTATTTAGGTTAATTAATTTATAGATTCGTTGTAAATAATCTTACACCCTGTATCTTCAGTAATATTCATCTAGGAAAATGTTCAGATTTATTACTTTAGAAATAATCAATAATTTTATTGTCTTGTTTACCATCAATAATAATATTACATTTCCAATAAGTGTTCAGGTTAATTAATTTATAGATTCGTTGTAAAGAATTTTACACCCTGTATCTTCAGTAATATTCATCTAAGAAAATGTTCAGATTTATTGCTTTAGAAATGATCAATAATCTCATTGCCTTGTTTATCATCACTTATAATATTACAGTCCCAATAAGCATTCAGATTAATCAATTCACAGATTCATTGTAACTAATTTCACACCCCCTACCTTCAGTAATATTCATCTAGGAAAGTGTCCAGACTCATTGATTTACAAAATGATCTCACACTCTGCTTGACTTAACGAATATTAACATTGTACATCCCAAAGAGCTTATATTAATTACTTCACAAATTCGTTATAAATAATCTTATACCCCGTGTACTCTTAATAACATTCATCCGGAGAAGATTCATAAATTCTTATCAACCTCATCCCAGCATAACAAGACTTATTAATAAACAAGATCTCCAACTCCTTATCAGTGTAACATAGCAGTCTCCAGAGAAGTAGTTATCAATAATCTCGCAGGCAGTGTTCAGCCATTAACCAGCATGTCTCTCATCTCTCGAGATGTCCAGATTCCCGCTTCCTCAGCAGAGAACGGTCGTCATTTTCCCGTGAAACCCGCGGTACTTCGAAAGT